GGGGGATCCGTGAGATCCCGCCGCGCCGTCTCAACTTTGATGTGGCTCAGATTAGCCACAGTTCGACCGTCCTTTTCCCTGCCGTGTGGCAGGGGCCTGTATAATTAAACCTATTGTATCTAACTTTCACAGTTTATCTGAGGAGAAGTTAGTATTTCTTTTACTATCTGACCGATGTTCCCACATTATAAGTTTAGTTGCAAGGTACCTCTTGGCTGCCATAACAACTAGGGAGCAAAAGTCTAGCTTTTCTATGTGATGCTTGATGGTTTTTATAACTGAAATTCTCTGTAAATCAGCCATGTTGCACCTTTTTTTCTTTTTCTTTTTATGCCAATAAAGGTATTTGGATGGGTTGGATGGATGGGAAGTTCACTCAGAGCTGTTCTCTCAGGAGCAGTTCTGGAAAGAGCTCGGTTTTTATAACTGAAATTCTCTGTAAATCAGCCATGTTGCACCTTTTTTTCTTTTTCTTTTTCTGCCAATAAAGGTATTTGGATGGGTTGGATGGATGGGAAGTTCACTCAGAGCTGTTCTCTCAGGAGCAGTTCTGGAAAGAGCTCTCTCAGCCCCACCTCCCTCACAGGGTGTCTGTTGTGGGGAGGGGAAGGGAAAGGAGATTGTAAGCCGCTCTGAGACTCTGAGTGAAGGGTGGGGTATAAATCCAATCTCCTCCCCTCCTCCTTCTTCTTAGATGGCCTTTTTTTCAACATCTGTTTCCCATCTTTACAATGGGGGAGGGGGAACAACCAGTCCTATCATAAAGCAAACAATGTATATAAAATATCTTCTTCTCTTCAAACTCCACCCCCTTTACCCTTCCTTGATTGGTGCCTTGCCTTGCAAGATTCTCATGTGTGGCTTGGGCTGGGACCAAAAGCCCTCTGGCTCCACCAGCAGGCCTAGGGCTCTATTGGGGCCCACTGGGGGGCATTTAGCTGTTGAGGTGGGGCCTTGGCAGCCCATTCACTGCTTTTTTGCTGGCCCTGGGAGTCATTGTTGGCGTGGACCAGGCCCTCCTGAATTCTGCCAGTATGTCTGTACCACACCATAGCCCAGCTCAGTGATGCTGGCCGGATAGACGGGTTTTGGATGTGACCCAGCCACTGGGCAAGCCCTGGCCTCTGGACACAAGTCTTTATGTTACCTTTAAAAATAAACATCTGAAGAAGAGGGTTCTGCTTCGAAACAGATAGATTACCATGTATATGTGTGCACGCGCATGTGTATTTTTTAAGCATTTGCTGCCCTACGTTTTCTCTTTTAAGGAAGTGAACATTCATGTCTTGTTTGCTTTGTAGATTGAATCAGTGTTCTGTTCCTCTTTCCTCTTTAGTTTGAAGAGGGTGTTTTGGATGCTTGCCTGTACCTGATGGATCAAGCAAAACTGGATTTGTCTGGCCGAGGAAATCCTGTCAAAATCAGCCGGGTTGGCTCTGCAGTGGTAAGGCAATAGAGCTGTACAATAGGAGGACCCACAAGGAATTGCTGAGGGAATCTCATCCCCCCCCCCATTATTCTCCTCCCCACCCTGTCTTTCTTCCCTCCCCCTGCCAACCATTCCTCTTCGCTTCCCTCCAGTCCACCCATCCACCTTATTCCATACACTCTCCCCTTCAGCTTCTCCTTCTCCTTCTCTCCCTTTCCCTGCTTCATTCCCTTCCTTACATTTTTTCCCCTTTTCCATCTCTGTCTCTCACTCTCCTTTAACTGACAGAAACCAAGGCTTGGAATGCTCAGCAATACTCTTGTTGTTACCTATCAACCACTAAAATGGCCATCAGCATCTCACAAGATCTTAGTGGGCATTCATCTCATAAAGTTAGAGAGGTTGTTTCTGTTGTTTTGGGACTCTTTTAACCCCACATGCATTTTTAAAAAAGATTTCAGATTTCTCTTTGCAACTTGGGTTTCCCTCAGATTTGTAGAAACTCTCCCCCTCCCCCATTTTCCCTGGGCCCACTGTGTAGATTTTTTGATTTACACTAGGGCCTAGTACAGAATTAGATAAAACAAGAGGAGAACCTGCAAGGATTTGCAGGAGGAGCATCTCATTTCCACTTCCTCACTATTTATCCCTTTCCAGAAATCCTCCATAGTCCCTCCCCTTTTCTGCCTTCCTGTTCCAGCCTCTGGGTCCACTCCAGCTGCATAGTAAAGGCAGCCAGACCAGGTCCAGTGGCATAGTGGGGAACCCACAAAGACTTGCAGGGTACACCTCACTTTCCCCTGTATCCCCCTCCCTATGCCATTTCCTCTTTCCCTCCTCCTAGCAGTTGTCATATCCTCATCATTTCTTGCTTTCTTCTGTCTTTTCCACCCACCACCAAACAACCTTTTATCTGCCCCTTCCATTTTCAGTTATGTTTATTATTTATTTACCTATCTCCTCTGTGGGGACCCAAAGCATCTTCTGTTGTTCTCCTCCCCTTCATTTTATCTCCACAAGGCCCAATGTTGCCTATTTATGACAGAGTGGGATTTCAAACCTAGGTCTCCCAGATTCTAGTCTGATACTCTTACCACTACACCCTACTGCCTTTCATATGGTAGCTGTTTAGGGTTCTCAGCCTCCAGGTGGGGCCTAGAGATCTCCCGCTTTTACAACTGATCACCAGCTGACAGAGATTAGTTCCCCTGGAGAAAATGGCTACTTTGGAGGGTAGACTCTATGGCATTGTACCATGCTGAGGCCCCTCACCTCCCTAAACCCCACTCTCTCCTGGATCCACCCCCAAAGTCTCCAGGTATTTTCCGACCCAGTAACCCTATAGCCACAGTCAATGAGTAGTGAGTCGTCAAATGGTTGCCACTGGGCAAAGGTGGTAGTTAGAAAGATCTGTCTTGTCTGTTCCTAGCACCAGTCTCTAGATTTAAGTATCCACAGATGGGGTCATGATGAGAATTAGATATATTGTTAATTATGTGGGGCTGACTGGTGTATTATTTTGCATATTCCTCCTAGTGGTGTATTGGAATGTGCTTTTGTTATAGAACTCCTGTTGTCAAACAGTATAAGCTGACCTACCTTGGGTGCCGTAAATTTAACAGTTTTATATAGAACACTAGGAGTAAGGCCCATTGTGGGAAGAAATACAATGAGCTCTAGAAGGAAGCTCCAGGTGAGTGTCCTGGCTGTGGCTGGTGGGGCGGCAGAGGGAAGGGAAAAATAGAGGGAGGCAAGCCATGTTTATTTCCTTCTGCTTAGCTAAAAGGCAGATCTGTCTCAAGTCAGTTTGCTGCCCCAAGTGGGTAGTATGAGAGGACAGCCTCATGGTAACAGGTATGGTTCCCTCCACCCCTGACTTTTGTTGATTTGGGGTTATGCAGTGGCAGCTAAGGTAGAAAGCACCTCCTCCTATGCCATGTTTTCTGGGTCCCAAGGGTCTGGAAAGTGATTCCATAGTCAGTT